GTGATAAAGTGGATGTCCTCTAGGTCGCATCTCCATTAGAGCTCCAGTTCATCTCATACGCCTCACCTACTTGGCAGAGTATTTGTATCACGTGACCTAATTGACCCAAAACACGTTGCACAGCCTGCAGCGCTTTATTTAGTCATTGAAGCAAGCGTCTCGAAGACGTCACTTGCACTGGTCATGATTGTGCCATTCAAATTCACGGATTTACGTATGATGATGGGATGAGTAAAGGCCACCTCCACATTCTGACGTTTCGGCATTGTCGACGCCTAAGTGAAGGCTTGACAATTGTTCATGAAGACGTTCTGATGCACGGCCTACACGTAGTCAGGCATGGTGATTCTCCCTAAGGTGATAGTGAGACGTAAGGTGTGTCTGAAAATAACCCGAGGAGTAGTTGTGTCAGAACTACACCTGTTGTATATTAAGCCCAACACATTGATTAGAAACTTGCAAGATGGAGCATAAAAAGTGGGCAAACGAACGAAGTAGGGGCGGACAATCACATTGCATGAGACCCCACAGAGTGCAGAAAAGTGCCGAGGAGCAAAACTGAAAGACAGACAGCAAAGCCGGTGTAGAGACACAGTTTAGGATTGTTTGCAGTGACCCCACGTAACCCACCACGGAAGGAGACGCTAATTTTAACGATGCGCTGAGGTTGGTGATGAAGCAGATTGGACTTATCTAAACCCACGTAGTATTCAAGTCACCGTCGCCTGCTTAATAGGCGCAGTTGCACAAGCAGTAATATCGCTGGGAGGGCAGCCACGTTGTGTGGTCTGGTGGAACAACTAAATTCCTCCTAATGCCCTTCTTTGGTCCTATGGAAAATTCTTGCCTAGACAGAGCTTTGAACATAGGAGAAAAGAGGTAGTCTGTTGATTGTTGCAAACAAATTTAGAGAAGACTTTGGTGGAGCTGCGGCGAAGCTGAGTCGTCGCATTGGCATTGGACTGAGAGCAAGCAGGTGAATGCAGCTACAAAACCGTCAGTCTCTCAGCATGGTGCAGAGGATGTGATAGGATCAACTCCACCCCATCGCCTCCACGGATGTGCCTTCATCCCCCTTGTACAATATCTTTCGAACATGAAGTCGATGGTGAGCTTGATTTATTCATTGTAGTTATTCATTGTAGTTACTCTATTTGGTTTTTAGCCTCCGACCAGTGGGAGCGTATATCTAGTCAGGCTCTTAAAATACTTCGCTTACTTCCGTATTACTAAAACAACTATTTGAGGGCCACTAATAAAATTCTTCTGCGATAGAGCCAATTGATGCCGAGGCTAACACCCACCACTTGAGACAAGTTAAAAAAAGAAATCCCCAGCTTATAAATGCGTGTATAAACATTAAAATAGAGGACTGTTCGTAAACCCAGTAATGAACACACCAATAGTGAGGCCAAAATACTAAGCATTGATGCATGCAAGTGTGATGAAACAGACCGTCAAAGTATGCAGTGTAATAATGAAGAGGCCACTGCGAGGAGCAAGCCAAAAGAGAGTGCAAAATCAG